GCTGCTGAACATTTCAGAGCTTTATTGATCCCAGCAGCGGAAAGACAAAAAAAAAGGAAACACTGCTATCACCGGAGCTTGTCGCCCTGCTGACCGCACAGTTTGGACTCATCTCCTCTCACCTGTTCTCTGTTTCAGGATGCCTACCCAAAAGGAGTCATCCCATTGGCTGCCATCCAGATGGCCCGTCCAGCCAAAGACAATAAATTTGAAATTGTGACGAGTCACCGGATCTTTGTGTTCAGGACGGATAATGAAGGTAAACACACAACGTCAGATTCTCTGATTTTTCTCTTCTTGTTGTAAATGTTTTCCCAATAAAAACACAAAATGCAACAAAATTCAAGGTTGATGATAATGATGGTGTTGATGAGGATGGTGGTGATGATGATGGGGTGATGATGATGGTGGTGGCGATGACGATGATGGTGGTGATGATATGTGATGACATGGTTGTGATGTGATGATGACGATGATTAAAGCGCCTTAAGGCGACTGTTTTGACTGTTTTGTATGATAGTGATGATGACGATGATGATGATCATCATCATCATCATCATCACAACCATCATCATCATCACGACCATCATCGTCATGGTCGTGATGACGATGATGGTCGTGATGATGATGATTGTGGTGATGATAATGATGATGATGGTTGTGATGATGATGATGATGGTTGTGATGATAATGATGATGATAGTGATGATGATGATGGTTGTGATGATGATGATTGTGGTGATGATGATGATGATGATGGTTGTGATGATGATGATGATGGTTGTGATGATAATGATGATGATAGTGATGATGATGATGGTTGTGATGATGATGATTGTGGTGATGATGATGATGATGATGGTTGTGATGATGATGATGATGATGGTTGTGATGACGATAGTCGTGATGGTGATGATGGTGGTATTGACCATAATGATGATGATGATGCTGTTGATGATGGCAAAGCAGTTGATGTGTTTCCTGTGCGTCAGTACTGCGGCGGCGCTGGGTGTCCACGCTGCAGGAACACGTCAGAGATCAGCTGGTATTTGGACGCCGGCGTTTTGGTCCTGGAGCTCACTGCCAGAAACATGGGGGCCTGGAACTCAAAGGAACCAAATCCAAAGTGTACGCTGCCATCAAAACGGACCAGATCTGGCTCTACAAGAGCGAGCAGGTGAGGGCGCCACCAGTTGACTTCCTGTGACTTTCTCAGGGTCCTGTGACTATTTCACTTCCCATGTTTCTCCAGTGTTTCCGTAACGGCATCGGCATCACGGTGATCGAAGCTCGCGGAGCAACGATCCGAGATGGAAAACACAAGAGCTTCGACCTCATCACGCCGTATAAAACTTTCAGGTGGGTGAGTTGAAGCTCAGCTCAGCTCAGCTGCTGCTTGATTTTGTCAGTACTGTCTGCAGTTACCAGCCTCGCTGACGCTGCATTAATCAAACTCAGAAAGAAAGACTCAGGTTTGAGTCTCTGAGGTTTCCTGCTCTGCAGATCAAACTGAGTCCTGCACTCAGCAGCGGGTCGCTGAATGAGAAAAATCTCTTATTGTCCCACACAGTTGGAGTTCTGAGTCATTCTGTTTTAATGAGAACGCTGAGACAAACAATGTAGATGTCGTTAAATGACCTTTGCTCCGCCTCCTCAGCTTCACCGCAGACTCAGACCGGGACAAACGGGACTGGATGGAGGCACTGCAGGAAGCGATCGCAGAGACTCTGTCAGATTACGAGGTGGCCGAGAAAATCTGGTCCAACCGCTCCAACAGGATGTGCGCCGACTGCAAGGCCCTGAACCCCGACTGGGCCTCCATCAACCTGTGTGTGGTCATCTGCAAGAACTGCGCAGGTACGACCTGCTCTCGAGGCTCGACATCTTCACTGATACCAGAGTCCTCTTTCTCTGCTGTCAGTCTAGCTTTGATCTAATGACGGCGGCGGTCAGCTGTCAGCTAACATGAGCTAGCATGACAGAAAGACATTTACAACCTGCAGCAAAAGCCTACATTTCATCTCATCC